TCCCGTCGTATCCCTCAGGCCCGTGCTGCAGTGATCTTTCCCGCTTCCTCAAAGACAACTACATGCAGCAGGAGGTTCCCACTGCCATTGCCAGGAGAAGCAGCCAATTTGGGGTTTTCCTCTATTCAGAATCCAGAGCTCATGAGACTTGATGGTCCATTCTCTTTCTGAAATAAGTTGTCCACTTGCCAGCTGATCTAGATACTTCTGTCACTCATTTTATAGTAGAATTCTAGTAATTCTGGATTGGGTGCTGTATTTAGTTTTTTAGGGTTTTCCAGCTGGTTGATAATGCATTTTAAAAAAGAAGAAAAAACTTTGAAAGCTGCAATTGGAATAGATTCAGGTAGTAGTAAAAAATAGGGTGCTACTTATATAGCAGTGTTTAATGTGATGCTGAGGTGTGGATTTGTCAGAACTTGGTTTGCAGTGGTAGGCTCATGTATCGGCAGTACAGTTTTTGAAGACATTTAGGAATATCTGATTATTTTTTTTAAGTGGTTAGCAACTATTTAACACTGCGTATTTTACAAGAAATATTTTTTAGAAGTTGATATCTTGACAAGCTGACTTTGTTACTAGCAGATGAGACCAAGTTGTTCTCTTGGAACACCTGAAAGCATCCATTTCTTTAAGTATCAGTAATGGAAAATATGTTTTCAGTGGCTGGGTTGGTGTTTGGGATACTGAAGGATTTGTTTTCTAAATAATGTGACAATGAGAATATAAAAGCAACAGGTCTCTGAATCAATATTAGCTAAAAGGATGGTAGCTCCCAGATGCAGATGTGCAGGACCCCTTTTACGCTGTACGCGCTGCCACTCTCTTAAAATTATTTTCCTCGTCATGCAGAAAGCATTATTTGTAGGTACAAGAGATGGTAGCTCCCAGATGCAGATGTGCAGGACCCCTTTTACGCTGTACGCGCTGCCACTCTCTTAAAATTATTTTCCTCGTCATGCAGAAAGCATTATTTTCACCACGACCAATTGGACTGGGATGAACACAGCTCTGCAGGGCGATACGTTCGGAGACGCTGTAAGCCCTTAAAGGTAGGAGACAGCTTTTTTTATTATTTTATGAGATTGGCAGTTGTGAAAGATCTCTCTAAAATACTTCCTTTTTTTCCTTCTTTCAGGAGTTCATGCATTGCCAAGACACGGATCACCAGAGTCTGTTTGACCTTGTTCGCAGGATGCTGGAATACGACCCTGCCAAAAGAATTACTCTTGATGAAGCCTTGCAGCATCCTTTTTTTGAACCATTAAATAAATAAATGCATTTGAAGATCTTTTATGCTTCTCCAGGGAGATTTCCTAGACTGTGTCAGTCAACAAGAGGTTGCATGAAACTTTTCTAAACTTTAAATTATTTTGTACAGTTAAGTCTGTAAATAGTTACATATGTTTTGTATAACTGTTATGTTTACCTTGTTGAACTGTTGTAGTCTCATGGGTATCGAAGTGAAAAATAAAAGTAATTTTCATTTTTGAAAATGGTTTTCTCTTTGAAACTGTATCCCTCCCCTTTTGCAGATGGGGCTAGTTAAGCAGCTGACTTGGGAATTAACTTTTATTAGTCATAAAGGAAAGATGTGAAGGGCTAAGGCTGCCTGATCGTGCTGCATCGTGACAGTGTTCTGAAACACGTTTGGGAGCAGCATGTGGGCATCTCTGGTGGCTGCTAATTTGTCTCTGGAATTTTGTCTGATGCTTTCACTGTTAAGTATTTATAGGTAGGTTTTTTTTGTTAAGGTCTGAAAAGTAACATATTTTCAATATCATTTTGATTCATTGAATTACCGGTGTTCTTATGAGAACACTTAAGAGAATGAGGTTTTTGAAAGGACTGTACTGCCCTTGGAGAAAAACACACACCACAGAGTTGTGGTGTAGTGTCTTGCAATAGGAACAGAGTCATCCTGAAGTCTTCATTTTTCTGTGGAGCTTGCTCTCTAATTACTGATTAGTAACCTTGGCAACCAGGAAACACCGTTATCGGACTGTAACAGAGGAAGGAGATGGATGGATTCTCAGTTGAGACTCTGAACTCTGGTGCTGAGTTGAGAAGAAAATGGCACTGCTTTCCAGGGTCCTTTAATGCACTTTGTTTGGTAGTTTTTGCTCTTCCATGTTTAATTTGATGTTTTTTTGGTCTTGCTCAAGGCTCTCTTAGTCCGTGTGACACAGTCTGGATGACGCTGCTGTGGTGGGGCTCATCCAGGCTCTCCGTGTAGGTGCAACGTGCAAGTTGGGCCTTTTATTGCGGTTCTGGCTTTACCATGCAAGACTTTCTTAAGGAAACAGTAAATTGTTTCAGCTCTGCAGGAGCCTGACTTCAGGTTTTGTCCTTGCTGAGTAAGTCCTAATGCACAGTAAGATTTTAAACCTTGTTCTGCTGATGTGGAGGAGGCTTAATTTGCAAGAGGCTCCAGACACGCATATCTCTGGCTTGGGGGTAGAACGTAGCCGGGACCAGGCTTTGAAAGCTTATCTTCTGTAACCAGTGCCACCTGCTGTGCACCATTCTGTCTCATAATAGACACCCTCCTTCCTGCCATGTTGATATTTACATCATTGTTTCTTCTCTGTGTGATGGCAAATCTAACAGCTGGTACCGTCCGGGGCAGCGGTGACTGCGGGAGTGAATTCCTGCCCTCGCTGCTTCCCACACCTCCAGGGGCAAAGCACTTGGCTGAGTGTATCAGCTGAGCAATGCAAATCAAAGGCAGATGGGGGGGAAAAAAAGTTTATATGCTGTTACAACTATAAAACTGTAGCTGTAAAACAGTTCTATCAAAATTAGGGAAAGATTATGTACTTTTGCTTAAGGAGCAGCACGAGCTTTTGTTAGTGTAGTTACTAAAGTGCATTGCACTTGCTAAAGGAAAAAAAATATATTATAAAAACCTGTTAAAACTCACTTTCCTCCTCCCCATAAACTTAAAAAAACTTGCTGTGGAGATGAATACAGCATCTGCAGCGAGGTGCTGAGTAGTTTTGCAGGCCTTAGAGCATGTACAAACGAAGTGTTAGTTTGAAGGGACACAAATCTGAGACCCCCAGGCTCCTGGGGGAGCAGCCGGGGGGGTCTGTCTCTAACAGGTCGGATTCCTCCTGTCCTCTGCCCCTCGAGAGGGGTTTTGTTTTTACTAGGGAAGAGATTTTTATACTGTTGGTAAATAGTTATAAAATTAGCTATTTTACCTAAGAAATAGGGTCTGTAAATGGGAATGGGTGAGCTGGGCAGACTAACAGTGTGTATTTCCATAACGGGTGATTATATGTGTTATTAAACATGGATGATAAGGCAAAGTAAAGCTGGTTTTTGAGTGAACTGAGCGGGCTTTGCCTCTGAAGTGCAAAAACGTACGAGATGCAGAACTTCAGAAGCTGAGCAGGGGCTTCAACTTCCCAGGAAAGGGTTAGGAGTTCTGGGTGGAGGGTTTGGTCCTTCCTCTTGTTGGACTTGGTGGGATCTCTGGTGTGAGGAGGGCTCAGGTTCTCTGGATGTGTTTTGGGACAAGGTGCTTTGTGCCCTGGGAGCTCCCCCAGGGTGATGGCTCTGTGCCTGTGCGATCAATGGAGCTCGTAAGCCAACTCTGAGCAGGCTTATAGAAAGGAGAAGGGGGGAAAAGAAGGCAAGGAAGAGAATTGCTCACAAAAACCTGGAGCTTTCTTCCTTGTATCTTCAGACGTGTGAAGAAGAGCTGGAAGTAGTTGTTTTGGAAATAGTGGGTACAGAGCAGGAGTGTGTGTGTCCGGCCGGGCAGTGGAGCGCTCTGCACACCTGTGTGTCACTGCCACGGTCACCAGGTGCTGTCACCATTTCGGGGAGCATTTTCTAACTCTGCCCTGGGCTTCACCCAGCAAGTAAGAGTTGCTCCGAGAAGGGCAGGGACTTCCAGAGGCAAAGACTACCTGTGGGATTGACTAGTCCGTGCTCAGAGCCCGGACAGGCATTAAGTGATCCGGGTGTGTTTTCTAGCTGAGTTTAGGGTCGATGTGGCACAGTCTGTAGCAGCGAGGAGAGGGCGAGGGTGTTTGGTAAAGTCTGGGGGTACGTAGTGCTTTTATATGAGGAGTTTCTCTCATTAAAGGACTCCATGAGGCAGAGGGGGCACTTTCCTGGGATAGAATCAATAAGTTTTGGTGGTGGAAGGCTCTGCACATCACACCTCACCGCCCCACCGGGGGCTGTAGCACAAGAAAGAGCGAAAATCCCCAGCGTTTGACACCTTTTCCAGGTGGTGCTCGTTGCGGGGGGGAGAGGCCGTTTCCCAGCCCGGTGCCCCCCCGCTCCGGGTGCCCGCTGTCCGGGCCGGGGGGGGTCCCGCTCCGGCCCCGCTGGAGGGCGCCCGATCCCGCAGCACCCCGCACCCCGCGGCGGCGGCTCTGGCCGTGCCCCGCACCGCCCGCACCCCGCGGGGCACCG